CTCTTTCCTTGCAGACATCATGGTGCTGATCGCCTCCATCGCCGTGCTGGCCGCGGGATCCCAAGGGAACGTCTTTGCCACGTCGGCACTTAGGAGTTTGCGGTTCCTGCAGATCCTGCGCATGATACGGATGGACCGCCGAGGAGGCACTTGGAAACTCCTAGGCTCCGTCGTCTATGCCCACAGTAAGGTGAGTGACACCTGGGCAGCTAGATTGGTCACCATGTCTTTGCTGATTTATTATGGTATGACTGTCATTGGTAGGAAGCATCTTGGACAGCAGCTGCACTAATGATCTTCAAAACCAGGATGCCTCGGGATTAGTAATTAGTGCCTGTTTATACCAAAATGCATGTTGCAGAGAGGATGCATCACTGAACGTTTTCCCCACTGGAGCCAGCTATCAGAGGGCATCACGATCCGCCCCCATATCATTGGGAAACAGTGCATTCGTACTAGTCACAGAAGTGATCCCCAGTGTGTGGCATTATCGGCCTTTCCCCCGTTTGGAGAAGCACTCAGTCACGTTTTGTTTCCTGTCACTTAATTTAGGTGATATCTGGCCTATTTCCTGCTCTTTGCTTCCTTTTGAAACCTTAGCAGACATCTCAGAAACGATACTTCCTTCATCTGCTCTTGTATTGACGTGCCCAAAAATTGTAACCATTTAAAGAGTCTTGATTTACCCTGTCACATGTAGGTGATATCACCCTATTGCCCCCCTTCTACAACAGGCTGCAAAGAGTCTCAACTAACTGTTCAGGCCTGCTGAAGTATAATTTTAGGGGTCAGATGCTGGGGGTGCGGGAAAGCGTGTGCCATCCTATTCCACCTACGGTTTAGTAAAATGAAACAATATCTTGATTTTTGACATGGCAACTTTGGTTATTGAAGGCCTATTCGAAAGAATAGGTATGGTTCAACTGTGTTCTCATTTCTGTGCAGTGTGAATGCAATATTAAAAGAAGGGGGGAAATTAAGTACCACTTCCTCCTTCTGCACCGTTATGTTCATCGTCCTGCAAGTGAAACTCTGCATTTGAGGAAACCAGAAACAAGGTGATACACCTAGAGACTTTCCTGATTGATTGCAAACTCCATCCACATTTCTCTCCACACATTCAGAGCTAAACTCCACTGAGCTCTGCCCAAGCGAGAACCAAACTATATGTTCGTATGGTGCCAAGTGAGCTGCAGCCAACCCCAGGCAAATCCCACCTGCTCTTCTTCACACACATGCAGCTAGACCAGTCTCTTGTTTCTGCTACCAAGTATTCTCCAAATGCATATTAAACCCAGAGGGGTGCTTTTCCTAAACAGGGTAAAATAAGCTACATTACCTCATACCACATCACCCCTGTCCATGAAACAGGGCATTGTCACATCCAAAGGGCTTTGAAATTAGGATATACAATCCAGATGCAAACTTTGCAGCTGGTTCCCATGTAGATGCAGATGTGCTCCCAGCGCAGAATCGGGCCCCCAGTGATGTGGTCTCAGTTCTGCACTGTACCACAGATTCCCCCTGTGTGACTTAGCTCAGCTCCCCATGTCTCAATGTCAGTGGAGAAAGCCATCCTTCCTTTCTCTCACCCTTTACCTCCTCCGTTCACACGGTCAGCTCTTCAGGGCAGGGGGGGTCTCTGATTTATGACAGAAAGAGCCCCCGTCTCGGCTCTCCCATAAGACGACAACTACTATTACTAGTCGGAAAGTCTAATGGGAAGGTTCAGCTCTGCAAGCCTGTCCCTGCCTTTGGGAACACCCTTGAGGGTGACAGTCCCATTATTTCGTCCTCTTTCCTATCTGTCTTGCAGGAGTTGATTACTGCCTGGTATATTGGTTTCCTCTGCCTCATTCTGGCCTCCTTCCTGGTGTACTTGGCTGAGAAAGGAGAGAACGACCACTTTGATACCTACGCAGATGCACTCTGGTGGGGCCTGGTGAGTAATTTCTGCAAAACAGCTGCCTGCTATTAAAATGAAATAGCCATCAACCCTCCATCTTCTCTTAGGAGAGGAATTGACTTATGAGCGGTTGGTTAGCATCATTATTAAATGATTCTGGGCTACTCAAATTAGATATCTCTCTCAAATGATCCTTTTTAGAAAATGCTGCAGTGTCTCCTTCCATGAATTATCTGAAGCTGGGAAGGCAGCAGAAAAGCTCAGGGCTAGATGAATACAGCCTGAACCATGTACTTTGGCACGAACGGGCCAAAAAACCCCAGCTATTTTACTGGGTTATTAAATGGAGTGCCACCCAACTTTGGAGGCAGGAGAATAATCGTGGCACATTGAAATTTGGACTACAGGGCTGCTGTCTTAAATGTGGGAGCGGTTTAAGAAGACGAGGTTGGAGAGGCATTTGTTTGGGGTGGCTTGGGAGCAGCAAATCTGTGCAGAAGGTTGGACTCAATGACCTTAAAGTCCCTTCCAAACTTTGGAGAGGTTGTGGATGCCAGAAGCAGACTGGGAGGTGATCAGCTCCTCTTTTCAGTCCTGGACAGAGTGATCAACACAGCAGAAACTTCATGGTAGTAGCCAAAGGACTCATTCTGGGTATTGAATTTGGCCAACGAAGAGATTCTCATTAGCTTCTATGAGCATGGGAGCAGACACCTATCATAAGCAGAGAAGCCACGGTACAGCACTTGTGTTTCTATGGGTTCTTGGGAATACCATAGGCACAGTTCCCACGGGGGTAGTACAGCTCCATACTTCCCCCTTGCATGGGATTAGTTGTTCTGCAACAGTTGAGCCATGTCCATCCAAGATGCCGCATTACAAAAATGCGGCTCTGATCATTTATTTTGACAAGTGCTGCTTGCTTTTAATTATTTATGATCATTCTTCAGAGTGTGCGGTTAAATGCACTGTAGTATGTTTTTGTAAGATTAATGGGGTCTTTGTAATAGAAAAGGCCTTGCTACTGAAGGCACTCTACTATTAAATCTTGGCGGACAAGAGAGGAAAGGGCACTGCTTTAGTTTTTCTGTGCGCACGTTTGTGCGTGTGAATTATTGGATTAGCAGATTGACAAAGAAGGAATTAATGAGGTTTTAATCTACTTTGTTCATTGTTCTCCTGCTCCGGCACTTCCGGAAGCCAATCTGGGCCTCGTTGCAAAGCTTGCAAGACCCGCCAACGGGGTCCTGACCAGAATCCAGGATCCGAACAGCTCCAAGCTTTGCAAAGAGTCAGCTGATTCAACAAAGGGGACACAAACCCGCTGTGAAGTCAGTCCAGTGGTGGTTCAAAGTTTTTAAGTGCATTGATTACAGTTAGAAAAACAGAGCAGGGCTTGATGCAACCAGAGAGCAAAACTAAGAACTAGTCCCAACCCAGGTGCCACCCTGATCTGGAGACAGATGGGCTCAAAGCTGTCCAACTCAGATCTCAAAAAGGAGGGAAAGCACTGCAAGCAATTCATTGTGTGTTTTTCCTTCCTTTTTTTCCCATTAAAACACAATATTTAATTGAAAATTTGGCCTGGAGTAGTGGTGTGTGGTTCTCTGCATTTCCCAAGGCCATTATC